AAGAAGTTTAAACTAAAGAAAAGGGGAGGAGGAAGAGAACAAGACAATCAAAAGGAAGAGAAGACAAGAGAAGAAAATGGCTTACCGATTTAGACTCGGAATCCATCGGAGAAGAAAGCCCTAACAAAGCTAAGGTCGAACATTGAATCCGAACTTCAAACCTCGAAGAACGGTGCCTTCTGCCCATGCATGTACCGGGATTGACGACAGAGTGGTTTTGAACTTTTGGGGTTGACCTTAGATTCTAGATTCGCGGAGCTCCGGGCCGATTCGAGGGAGAGTAGTTGTGGATTTGGCGTGAGGGGATCCTGGGGGTTGTGGGGTGTTAGTTTGGGGCTGAACGGAGGCAGCGCCGCCACCGGAGAGCACAAGGGAGGCTCTAGGATTTTCTTTCAAAACCAGATTCGAGACGTTCTGGGTTGATTCAAGGCAAATGGAAGGGGAATTTAGAATGAGGGGCGCTTGATGGTTATGGGGTGTCATTGTGGGAGTGGTTGGAAGTGGCGCCGCCGGTGGATGGTGGCGGAAAAGGGGCGGTTCCGTTAGGGTTAGGTTGGGGCTCTCTGAAGACGGGGGTGTGGGAACGATGAAATGAGGGGGGTAGGGTACGTTCGGACATATATATATTGAAACCCCCCTAGTTCTGATCTGTTGGATCAGGCAATATCAACGGCCCAGATCAAGCCTGCTGAAACGGCGTCGTTTGACTTAGTTGGGGGATTTGGACCGGGTACATGGGTGATTATGTTTGGGCTGGGGAAATCTGGGTTGATTTTGGCCCAGATTTAACCCTCTTATTTCTTTCTTTTCCTTTATTTCAATTTAACAATTCTTTTTTTCTTTTTTCCAAAATTAAAATTAAAACCTAAATTAAATTCTAAACCAAATTATCCTACCAAATTAAATTAATTAGCCCTAATAATCGTTACAACAAATAATTAAAAACCAAATTAAAGGAAAAGCTACTAAAATTCAAAATAAAAGTGCAAAATAACTATTTTTGTGATTTTTTCCTATTTTTATAAAATACTTTGTCAATTAATCCTAAAAATGTAAAATTAAATCCTAAATGCAAATGCAACATATTTTTTTTGTAATTTTTATTAATTAAATAAAATAAAAATGTACAGACAAATGCAAACAAATACCAGAAAATGCTACGAAAATCCCCAAAATTGCAAACACTGAAAGAAATTGTTTTGTTTTGGATTTATGGGAGTAATTCATATAGGGAAAAAATCACGTGCTCACAACGGTGTAGATCTTCGGTGGGTTGGTTTGAGCAGGGTGAGGCTAGATTATTGGGCACAGGCTTAGTTCAAGATGCTTTAGAGAAGGTTAAGGTGATTCAGGATAGACTCCGTACAACCCAGTCCAGATAGAAGGTTTACGCGGACCGAAAGGTTCGTGATGATTCCTATATGGTTGGAGAGGGGGTTCTAGTTCGACTTTTGCCTATGAAGGGCGCATGAGATTCGGGAAGAAACGAAAGTTGACTCCGAGATTTATTGGCCCTTTTGAGATATTGAGGCGTGTTGGGGAGGTTGCTTATGAGCTTGCCTTACCTCCCATCTTGGACGGAGTTCATCCGGTATTCCATGTTTCAATGCTTCGGAGGTATCACGGTGATCCGTCACACGTATTGGATTTCAGTTCAGTCCAGTTGGACAAGGATCTATCTTATGTTGAGGATCCAGTGGCAATACTGGACAAGCAGTTTAGAAAGCTGAGGTCAAAGAACATTGCATCAGTAAAGGTTCGGTGGTGGGGTCAGTCGGTCGAGGAGGCAACCTGGGAGACCGAGCAGGATATGCGCAGCCGTTACCCTCATCTTTTCACTATTTCAGGTATGTCTTTATGCTTGTTCGAGGACGAATGAATGTTTAAGTGTAGGAGGATGTGACGACCCGGCCGGTCGTCTTAAGAATTTACGCGTCTATCCCCTATTATCTGCTTTCCCCAAGTTTATTTCTGCTATTTTGATTTGCCAGGATGTTTGATTTTGAGTTTCAGAGAGTTTTGGGACACTTAGTCCCTAAATGAGAGCTTAAGTGTTGGAGAGTTGACCATAGTCGGAACAGTGTGAAGACGACCTCAGAATGAAAATCTGATGGTTCTGTTAGCTCTGTTGGGTGATTTCGGGCTTAGGGGCATGTTCGAATTGTGTTTTGGAGGTCCGTAGCAAATTTAGGCTTGAAATGCCGAAAGTTAAATTTTTGAAGTTTCCGGTCCAATAGTAAGATTTTGATCCGAGGGTCAGAAAGGAATTCCAGAAGTTGGAGTAGCTTCGTAGTGTTGAATGTGACATGTGTGCAAAATTTCAGGTCATTTGGACGAGATTTGATAGACTTTTTGATCGAAAGCGTGTTTTTAGAGTTTTGGAATTCTTAGGCTTGAATCCGATGAAAATAGGTGTTTTGATGTTGTTTTGAGCATTCCGAAGGTTGGAACAAGTTTGAGTGATGTTTTAGGATTGGTTGGCAGGTTTGTTGAGGCACCGGGGGCCTCGGGTGTGTTTCGAATGCTCAACGGACCACTTTTGGACTTGGAAAGATTGCAGATTTTTTGTTGTTATGTTGCAGAGAAAACATTCATCGCATTCGCGAGAGGGTCTAGCGTTCGCATAGAGCACCTGGGTGAAGCAGCTGAAATCTGCTTCGCATTCGCGATGATGTCCCGCGTTCGCGAAGTTAAGGACCCGTTGGTCTTCGCGTTCGCGACATGGTCCTCGCGTTCGCGTAGGGTCTACCCGTGTAAGCTATGTGTTCGCGAGTGGACCTCGCGTTCGCAAAAGAGGAATTTGTCCAACAGGAATTTTGTGCATCGCGCTCGCGATAGTTGCCTCGCATTCGCGAAGAAGAACACACCTGGGCAGATATATAATTTCAAATCGAGGGTTTTAGCCATTTTTATCAAAACTTAAGCTTGGGAGCTCGGATTTGAGCGAGATTTCGAGGGATTTTCAGAGATATCGATTGGGTAATGATTCGTAACTCATTTTTGCTTGTAACCCATTAATCTAAACATGAATTCATCCTTTAATTTCGAATTTTTGGTGGAAATTGGGGGGAAAGTTCTTAGACCAAGAAATTGAGTTTTGATTGGGGCTTTGACATTGGATTGGGATAATTTTGATATGGTTAGACTCGTGTGAGTGTGAGGATTATGAAAATATAAATTTTACCCGATTCCAAGATGTGGGCCCGAGGGGCGTTTTGGTTATTTTACCTAATTTCGCGTATTAGCTTAGAATTTAATTGTAGAATCAGTTACTTGAAGTGTTATTCATATTATGAAATTGAATTGAATAGATTTGGACCATTTGGAGTCGAGTACTCGTGGCAAGAGCGTGGTTTCAGATTGATTATTGAGTCGGTTCGAGGTAAGTGGCTTGTCTAACCTTGTGTGGGGGACTTTCCCCTTAGGATTCGATCTATTTGATATTTGAAATGCCTTGTACGTGAGATGACGAGTGCATACTTGAGCTAATTGTGGAAAATCCAGTTTTCTTTAAGTTATTTCAATTGTGTTCCTTTCCCTGTTTCATTTTACATGCAATTTAAACCTGTTGTTAGCTTAGAAAGGGCATGTCTAATTGACTTAACTGTTTATTTGCTTAAGCTGCCTTAATTTCACTACGTGAAGCATGTTAGGCTAGAATTAATTGTTTACTTGGTACGGAATTAGCATTAAATTGAGTATTCTTGTGTTGCTTCTGTGTGTTTTTAATTTGGGGCTACAAGACGGCATCTCGGGAGATCCCCTGTACATATTTATGATCTGGACTAAGGTGCGGGATACCAAGAGGTCCCTGGCACGTATATTGAGGATACCAAGAGATCCTCGGGATACCAAGATATCCCTAGCATATATTGAGGATACCAAGAGATCCCTTGTATACATAGATGATACCAAGAGATCCTCGGGATACCAAGAGATTCCCCAGTTATCATCCTTGCTATGAGTGGTATTTCCTTGCGGGTTGTCTTAATCTCTGTTTTCGTTATATTACTCTTATTATCCTGTATAGATTCTTACTGTAGATTCTCAATTGTACTGCTTATTTTATCCTGTGATCTTATTATTTATTTAATCTCAGTAGGACCCTGACCTTCCTAGTCACTACCCGACCGAGGTTAGGCTTGGCACTTGCTGAGTACCATTGTGGTGTACTCATTCCCCTTCTGCGCATGTTTTTCATGTGCAGATCCAGGTACCGCTACTCAGGCATACCATCCTTGAGGGAGGCGACTACTTTAGAGACTTCGAGGTACATCTGCCGCGTCCGCAGACCGAGAAGTCCCTTTCTATTCCTGCTTTTAGTATTTATCCCTTATGTATTTTTTCTGTTCTTATTAGACATTCTGGAGTTAGAGCTATGTAATATTTTTCTTAGCTTGTGATTCGTGGGTTTCTGGGTCTTGGATTTACGTATTGGTATTGAGAGTTAAACATGGTGTATGCCGAGCGGCACATTTAAAACACTGTTATTACTTTATTTCTGTTTTAAATTATTTTACTTCCGCAAATTTTGGTTTTTCTTCCGCAATTTAGGCTTACCTAGTCATAGATACTAGGTGTCGTCACGATGGTTCACGGAGGGCGAACCGGGGTCGTGACATTAATATGCAGTTTTATAATTTCTCACATTTCTAGATATATGTAAAAATAAAGAATTCTATACTTATTTATTTTAAGTTATTTGCATGATTATTATGTGAAAGTTGCTAATTTTCATGTTAATAGAATTAATTGAGAGAAGAATACTTGTTTTATGTTTTTCGACAATTAAAATTATGTTAAAGTTAGAAGATATTTTGTTCTATTTAACATCTAAGATATACTAATAATTTAAAGAAGAAAAAAATAGCATTCTTTTCTATAGAATTATCACTTTAGTGTATATAGATCACAAATTTGATACTATGTCAATTTTTAAGATTCTTTACGCTATTATCCTAATGATTTCTAATTATTTATCTTCTTTGATAGTTTTCACTATGTCGAATTTGTCAAAGCTTGAGTTTGTAGCACTTGATATTTCTGGAAAGAATTACCTGTCATGGGTTCTCGATGCTGTGATTCACTTAGCCGCTAAAGGCCTTGGTGACACCATTACTCAGGGTAATGAGGCATCAAGCCAGGACAAAGCGAAGGCCATGATTTTCCTTCGTCATCATTTGGATGAAGGTTTGAAGGTTGAATATTTGACAGCGAAAGATCCATTTGAATTGTGGACTGGCCTGAAGGAAAGGTATGATCACCTTAAGGCTACAATATTGCTGAGGGCTCGATATGAGTGGATGCACTTACAATTGCAAGATTTTAAGACCGTAAGTGAGTATAAATCTGTTGTATTTCGAATAACTTCCCAATTGAAATTATGTGGGGGTGGATAGCTAGGGATTATATTTCATTTTACACTCCTTCTTACTTGAGTTTTGATTAAAAATGTATACAAAATAGTCCCAAAGGCTTACATATTGTACTTGTTTACAGGATTTGGTAAAAAATGTGACAATTAGTCAAAACCAGCTCAAAAAGGAGTGAAACATGCACAAGTACCAAGAACAAGTCCAAGCACAGTGCAACAGATCCACCGCAACCGCATTCCATTTAGTGCAGTCCGCGGTGAGGAGATTCAGAGAGGTGCACATTTTGGAACCTCAAGCACTGCGGCTGCAAAGCATTTTGTGTGGACCGCAGTGGCCTCACCGCAACCGCAATCAAGTTTGTGCGATCCGCAAAGATGGGGTTCAGAGAGTTGGGATTTTAGAGGAAATTTCCAATGTGGTCCGTGGTCCTTTTTGGTGCGGACCGCAGTTGAAGCACCGCGGTCGCGGTGCATTTTATGCGGCCCGCGATGGCCATGTTTAGAGAGCAGAGTTTTAAGCTAAGAAGCCTCATTGCAGTCCGCGGTGCATTTTGTGCGGACCGCACTACCTTGTAGGTTATCCAGAAAATTCGGCCTAGTATAAATATTTTCTTTTCCCAATTTTAGGTCATCCTTTGTAATCAGTGAAAGGCTGTGTTAAGCCTTTTTGAGTAATTTGTAGCTAGATTAACACTGATTCTTCTTTATCTTAGCTTGCAATTTAATCTTATGGATTATTCTTCATCTATTTATCAGTTTTCTTTCATTATTATGAGTAGCTAGACCCACTAGCTAGGGTTGTGGCTCAACCCTAGTGTGGGTATTTGATGGGTCTTTTGATTTAAAGCTTATATGTTTATGGGTAGTTGGTATTTGGATTGATTTGTGTTTTCCATGTTGAATTAGTGGTTGCAAACACTAATTTGTGCCTATTTTACTTGGGCTCTTCTTGAGAAAGAGAACTTGAGTCTAGGAAAATCAGTCCAACAAAGAATTGGGGTGTAATCAAGAGATTAATAGCCTCAATTAAAGGGTTAAACCTAGAGATAGTAATACCCAACTTGAGCCTATATTGCTTGCACAATTTTGACACCCAATTGGTCTTGAGAAAGTCAATTAGGGCAAAGTCACTCAAGCTACCGAGAGGTATAGAGTGAGTAATTCCGTGCATTGGCTATATCACAATCCCCAACATAACATCTTTGTCTGAGGCTTTAGATCCCGTTAAGTATTCACCTAGGAGAAAGTCATTTCCCTAGTGCCTCTTTAACTAATTAGAAAACCCTACAAGCAATCATTCTTAGTTTAATTTAGCTTATCATTAGCATAAACATTAGAAGTAATATCCAATCAAAAGATGTTTGGAAGAGTAATTAAGAGCACTACGCATCTCTAGTCTAGATAGGAATCCAATTCCCACTTCTACTTCCCTGTGGATTCGATCCTGACCATCTCGGGTAAAAACTGCTTCGATCGCTCTCGCCACTTTGTAGTGGTGTAGGGTTGGCTCCAATCAGGGATGTTATGAATGATGAGGATTTGTTGGAAAAGACTCTTACGACTTTTCATGCCTCAAATATGGTATTACAACAGCAATACCGTGAAAGAGGTTTTAAAAAGTATTATGAATTGATCTCATGCCTTCTGGTGGTTGAGCAACATAATACCCTTTTGCTGAAAAATCATGAAGACCGTCCCACAGGGTCAGCTCCGCTTCCTGAAGTGAGTACGGCAGCTAGACGTGATATGTCTAGAAAAAGACAGAATAATAATCATGGCTATATGAATGTACGTGGGCATGCCAATGGTAAGAGACGATATAATAGTCGTCATCGTGATGAGTTGGGAAAGGGAGTTGCCGCAGAGTGCGAGCATCTGCAGGAGAAATTGAGGTCAATGCAGTCGGAGATGGATTAGAACTTGATCAAGGTCGAGGCACTGAGCGCGGAATGGATGGGGAAATTTACTGAGCTAGAGAACAAGGTTCCTGGGTTGGAGAGCATCGAGAATTCTTGGTCCGCGGCTTTGGCAAGGGCGACGGCCCTGGAGAACACCATCTGTGTCCTCTTGTCCGAGAAGGAGTTGGAGAGAGCGACGGCTGAAAGGTCGTTACCTTTTACGGCTGTAACGTAGTGGATGATATGATCTTCTAGATCAGTAGTACCATCATATATCTTTAAGTAGGGAGGCATTTTGAAGGCCTTTGGAATGGCGTAGGGGGTCGCTTCTTCACTGTATGGTTGCTCGATGAATCGACCAACGCCGGTCAGGATTTATCAAAACTCTATCCAAAGAAAGGCAAATAATGTTGGAACATCTTCTACTAATGCCCCAGTGGAGTCTCACTTGACCTTTAAAAATAATTTTGAGGCAGGGCCTTCAAACAAAAATGATGACATTGCCGAGGCAAATCTTGCTTTGAATGATGATGATTTTCAGGGCCTCGATGATCTTACTCATTTGGAAGTTGAAGACTTTTTTGGAGATCGAAACTAAAGTTTGATCATTTTACTGGGGAATACAATTATGTTATTTTTATTTTCAGTGTTTTTTGGTCTCGTTATAAAGTTTTTATTTTCAAGTAGTACTTGAGTTGTCTTATGTTGTTATTGGTGTTGTTAGTTTTTTCGTAATTCTCATGGTGTACTTTTATATTTTTTATGAAGAAAATAAAATTCCCCAGTTTTCAATTAGATCCAAGATGAGTGATGAAGAATTATGCCTTTTGGATAGTGCTACAACTCACACAATATTAAGAGAAAAGAAATTTTTCTCTTATTTGGTTATGAAAAAGGCCTATGTTAATACAATATCTGGTAGTACAAAGTTAATTGAGGGCTCTGGAAGAGCGACCTTATTACTACCTGGAGGAACGATATTAACTATTGATAATGCATTGTATTGTAGTAAGTCTCAAAGAAACTTGTTGAGTTTTAAAGCTATTCGCAAAAATGGCTACCATCTTGAGACCTCAAATAAAGGAAAGGTTGAATACCTTTATATTACTACAATAAAAGTGGGTAAAAAATATGTGCACGAAAAATTACCCGCATTTTCTTCTGGGTTTTACCACACAAAGGTGTGGTTGAATCACATGCCATAGTAAACAAAAGGTTTACTACTTCTAATGATTTTATCATTTGTCATGACCGGTTGGGACATCCCGATTCAAACATGATGCGCAGAATACTAGAGAATTCAAATGGGCATACATTGAAGACAAGAAGATTCTTCAATTTAAGGAATTCTCTTGTGTTGCTTGTTCTCAAGGAAAATTGGTTATTAAACCATCAACAGCTAAAGTTAGGATTGAATCCCCTGCATTTTTGGAATATATACAGGGTAATATATGTGGACCTATACACCTTCCATATGGGCCATTCAAGTATTTTATAGTCTTGATAGACGCATCTACAAGATACATGTGTGCTTATTGTCAACTCGTAATATGACATTTGCGAGATTGTTGGCCCAAATAATAAGGTTAAGAGCACAATTTCCAGATTATACAATTAAGACAATTCATCTTGATAATGCTGGTGAATTTACATCTTAGGCCTTTACAGATTATTGTATGGCCACTGGAATAAAAGTTGAGCATCTGATTGCTCATGTTCATACTCAAAATGGTCTAGTAGAATCATTAATTAAACGCTTCCAATTAATAGCTAGACCATTGATAATGAGGACAAAACTTCCCCTTTTAGTGTAGGGACATGTTATTTTGCATGCAGCAGCACTTGTGCGCATAAGGCCAACCAGTTATCATAAAGTCTCCCAATTACAGTTGGCTTTCGGTAATGAGCCAAATATTTCCCATCTAAGAATTTTTAGATGTGCGGTATATGTTCTAATTGCTCCACCACAACGCATAAAGATGGTTCCCCAAAGAAGGTTGGAAGTATATGTTGGTTATGAAACTCCTTCTATTATTAAATATCTGGAACCTATGACAGGAGATTTGTTTACAACCAGATTTGTTGATTGTCATTTTGATGAATCAGTTTTTCCAACATTAGGAGGAGAAAACAAACAACTGAAAAAAGAGATAGATTGGAACGTATTATCTCTATCTCATTTGGATCATCGTACAAATCAATATGAACAAAAAGTTCAAAAGATCATTTATATGCAAAATGTTGCAAATTAATTGCCAGATACATTTAGTAACCTTAAACATGGTAGACCAATTGGTTCCAAGGATAAGAATCCCCGAAAAAGGAAAAACACAAATGATCAAATTGATCATAACATGGAGGCAATTGCTCAAGAGGAGCATAAAGACATAATAATTGATAAGACCTCACAGGTGGTTCTAGTACCTGGAAATGATGAAAATGAAGAGATCTCAATAAGTTATGTATCTACAAGAAAAAGGTGAAACCGAGATAATATTGTTGTTGACAATAAGTTTGCATATAACATTGTAGTTGAAGTAATGCAACAAGATGAGGATTTTGAGCCAAAATCTGTCGATAAATGTAGACACAGAAATGATTGGCCAAAATAAAAAAATGCAATTCAAACGAAATTGGCTTCACTCGAAAAACGTAAAGTTTTTGGACCAATATTCCGAACACCTGAAGGTGTCAAGCCAGTGGGGTACAAATGAGTTTTTGTGCGAAAACGAAATGAGAAAAGTGACGTCGTAAGATATAAAACACGACTTGTGGCACAAGTGTTTTCACAAAGACCTGACATTGATTATATGAAGACATATTCTCCTGTGGCAGATGCAATTACCTTCAGGTATCTAATAAATCTGGCAGTCCATGAAAAGTTTGATATGCGGTTGATGGATGTTGTCACAACCTACTTATATGCCTCAATGGACAATAAAATTTTATGAAAATCCCTGAAGGATTTAAAGTTCCTGAAGCACATAAAAGTTTAAGAGAACTTGTTCCATAAAGCTTCAGAAATACTTATACGGATTGAAGCAATCATGGAGGATGTGGTACAATAGCCTTAGCGAGTATTTGCTAAAGGAAGGGTACAAAAATGACCTTATTTATCTTTGTGTCTTTATTAAGAGGTCTAGATCTGAATTTGTCATTATAGCTGTGTATGTGGATGACTTGAATATCATTGACACTTCTAAAGAGCTTCCAAAGGTTGTAGAGTGTTTGAAGAAAGAATTTGAAATGAAAGATCTTGGTAAGACAAAATTTTGTCTTGGCCTCCAAATTGAGCATGTACCAAATGGATTTTTTGTCCATCAATCAACATACACTGAAAAGGTTTTAAAGCGATTTTACATGGATAATGCACATCTATTGAGTACTCCAATGGTTGTGAGATCGCTTGACATAAATAAAGATCCAATTCAGCCTCAAGAAAATGATGAAGAGATCGTTGGTGATGAAACTCCATATCTTAGTGCAATTGGGGCACTGATGTATCTTGCCAACAATATTCGACCAGATATTGCTTTTGCAGTAAGCTTATTAGCAAAATTCAGCTCTTCCCTAACAAGAAGACACTGGAATGGTGTTAAGCATATATTTAGATATCTTTGGGGAATTTATAGGGGTGTGCATAAATCGAATCGATTTTTTGTTATCAGTTTATCGATTTATCGATTTCGAAATTTTCCTTATCGAGTTATCGATTTCGATTTCGATTTTGTCCTTTTTAATTATCGGTTTATCGATAAACCGATAAGATATATAAGACAAAAAAATAATTTTTTTTACCCTTATTCTATAATACCCTTCCCTTTACCCTAAGTCCATAACCCTATTATTTCCTCTACCACATTTAAGGAATGATCATATTTAAAGCTCAAGGGAATGAAGTTCAAATTAATGGAAACAGAATTAGCTGTGATGATGTATTTTTTTATACTGTTGGAGTGTTGGTGGCATACATTTGATCCCTTACTTTAGTTTCGTTGTATATGCTTGTTGACACAATTTTTATGTTATAAACGATGTCCATCATATTTTAGCTTCTTTTTGTACATATTAGTTAGGCGTGTTTATAGCGATATACTTTCCGTGGAATCCCGCAAATTTTCTTATTGGTGTAATCGATAACTGAATCGATAAGCCTCAAAAATCGATAAATCTAAATCGAAAAAATCGAAACCTTATTGAAACGATAACGATAAGCATATGTACAAATCGATAATCGATAAGTAATTATCGATAAAGGTCAAAATTGAATCGATAAATCGAATGCACACCCCTAGGGAATTATAGATATGAGATTGTTTTATTATAATGAATTCAAGTCAGAAATGATTAGCTATGCCGGTGTAGGTTATTTGTCTGATCCACATAAAGCCCGATCTCAAACAGGCTATTTGTTTACATATGGGGGTACAACTATATCATGGCGTTCAATGAAACAAACAATAGTTGCCACATCTTCAAATCATACTGAGATAATAACCATTCATGAGACTAGTCGAAAATGTGTTGGTTGAGATCAATGACTCAGCATATTCAGGAAATGTGTGGTTTTCCTATGAAAATAGATAATCCAACTACACTATATGAAGATAATGATGCTTGCATTGCTCAACTGAAAGGAGATACATCAAAGGAGACAGAACAAAACATATTTCGCCAAAGTTTTTTTCACGCATGATCTTCAACAAAATAGTGAAATTAATGTTCAACAGATTCTTTCATGTGAAAATTTGGCTGATTTGTTCACTAAGGCATTACCAACCTCAACATTTGAGAAATTGAGACAGAAGATTGGAATACGCCGTCTTCGGGAAATAAAGTGATGTTTTCATGAGGGGGGAGTAAGATACGCGTTGTACTCTTTTTCCCTTAGCCTAGGTTTTGTCCCACTGGGTTTTCCTGGTAAGATTTTTAACGTGGCAGCAAATAAAGCGTATTATAGATATGTACTGTACTCTTTTTCCTTCACTAAGATTTTTTCCCACGGGGTTTTTTCTTAGTAAGGTTTTAACGAGGCATATTATCTATTTTTGGACATCCAAGGGGGAGTGTTGTAAAACCTATAGTTAATGTGGATGTCCCTACTCCCACTATTTTCACCCATGATGTGAATAACTTATCACTGCTCATCACTATTATGATTGTAATTCACACACCTCCATAACCTCTCCCCATGATCTCAATTGTTAATGTCATGTTTAAGACAATCATTTTGTAACATTCATATGTAATAGTATAAATATAGGCATGAAATATGAGATGGAATATACTTGAACACTTGATGAAATAAGAAAGTTATCTCTTCTTCTCTTATTCTACTTTTTTTTCTTGTTTTATATTGTTATTTTGAACTACATTTTTTAACATATTATTATTATTATTGAAGCTTTCTTTATCTTCTTAAATACTGAAGCTTTCTTGGAATTAAGTTCTTTCCTTATGCATTTGCCTACTATAGCTTTCTTTTACTCTCTCCGTCCCAATTTAGTTTATGTACTTTTATTAGTTAATCCTAAAAGATAATATATTTTAATATTTAAAATTATTTAATTTTAAACTTATTATTTTATCTTTAGGGAGATTTTTCATAACCATACAAATATTCGTAACTCATTTTAGACACACATATTTAAAAAAAAAATTAAGTCCAATCAAACTGGTCACATAAAATGAAAAGCAAAAAGATTAATACGTAATTTTTTTTGTTAAGAAACTTACAGCTTGTTTGGATGGTTGTTACGTATCGTTTCATAATATATCGTATCGTATTGTATTATATTGTATCGTTTAATAAATATAATATTTGGATGGATTGTGTCGTTTTGCCGTCGTTTTATGGTATCACGTACCAGTAATATGATGAATAAACTTGCTATATTATAAAAAAAATATGACACGGTATATAGAAAGGTAGGGTAAGTGATAAAATAAAATTATTTAATAATAATGAAGGGTGAGATTGAGAGAAAAAGATAAGGAAACGACGTAATCACACCAAATCGGTCGTTATATAAAGTGACACATTTCATCATTACGTAACAGACGGATTTAACGATACAATCAATAAAATTTAAATAACAATCAAAACAAACATTGCATTTAAAATAACAATATACACGATAGGTAACAACCATCCAATCAAGCTATTAAGGTTGGAATTGATTGGAGTATTTTAAAACGATACAATATGGTTCATACCAATCATTATTGGACTTATCATCAGCTCAAATCAGATAAGTCGTCGCTTTGTTCACGATTCCCATTGTCAGTTGCCAACCCATCCAATTAAATGTGATCTCCTTTACACTGACATGTCGGTCATCTTGAGGAATAATATTAACCGTAGATCTAAATCTTATTTCTTTCTCATTAAACTGTCATTTTTTAAGTGAAGCATTTATGTAACCTTAATACGTCTGGGATTTGGAAATCCAATTTTAAGAATATTCTTTGGAATTACTGGTTAATCCATGGCAACGAATCTGTAAAATACGTCGATAAAACTTCAATCTTGTGTAGGACTCATCTCTGAAACAAGTTGGCAATTCTTTGGAAAATTCTTAAGGGACAATCTCCATGGTTTCACCAAGTAAGCATTACAAACCCATTTGGCAATTCTTGAAAAAAAATATGAAATTTTCTGTCTCTGTAATTTTCTTTTTTGTTAGTATTTGTTGTATATACAACAAAGGTTGTTTCCGTTAGACCCGACAATTTATTGTATATAGTATTTGTATTAAATAGAGCAGAAATGGATTTAGTTTCCATATGGTCTAATTTATGTGTATATATGGTAGAATATTTTCCGGATTGTAATTTGGTTCTTGAAAAATCGTATTTTCCAGCTTAGATTTTGTATATCTTGGACACCCTTTGTGAATATTGCAGCTGCATTAAGTGAATTCATATTGAAAGTTGGTTGCTTTATGGGTTTTAAGTACTCTATGGGGTCAAATCTTGAATTAATAAATTAATCCCTGTTTAACTGTTGTCAAAGTGCAATAAGTCAGTTGCATTGGATCAAATCCAATATGTTGCAGCTAGGAAGAATACTAATCAAATTAAAATTATTAGGAGGTTTATGTAATGTACTGTGGCAATAAGTCATAGAGAATCTGCATTCAGTTGATGATATCTGCATAATCCAATTTTGAGCAAATGGGAAGGTTGAAAAGTATGTCAAGAGCTTTACCTGTGTGCTTTATCTGGTAATTACCAAATCTTTTGAAACTTTCCCGGATAAGAACGCGTTATATGCAGCTGTCTTTGCATTTATTTTTATATCTAAAGTAACTTGTTGTGATAGCATTAACAATATTTGTTATGGGGAGGAGTGGTACTGATACAAGATACAAGAAGATAAGTATGTTAAAGCTTGCTCGTATCTCATAAATGCAGTATAGTTTAAACCTATGAAATCAGTTAGTATCTTTTACTGGTGAAAAATCTTATGTAACTTTAGAATTTTACATGCTAACTAGGGGTTACTGAATTCGGTTTGTACAGCACTTTGTAGGTCAATTTGGTGCCACAAACCTCAGAAAGGTGTTAATATTCAGAGTAGAAACTGTTCGATCTGAATAGTTTTATAGGCTCTCTTTTTTCCCATTATTATCATGTGATGTTAGGTGAATTTGTAGTCTCCTTTGTTTCCCAACCATAGGACCTCAAATGATGTTTTGCCTTTCTTCTCTAATAATACATAGCATTGTTATGATATGTTTGGATATCCTTGAGCTGCAAATACTCTTCAGTTATTCTTTGGCTGAACGAATGGTTGGTTGTTAAAGTACATACTTCACACGTTTATCGTGCTGCTTATTGCTAAAGAATGTGAATTGACTGCTTATATAATTGCTAAATGATCCTAGTTTTGATACGGAGGGACATCTGTTGTTGTGTGAGTAATCTAGCTTGTTAATTTCCAAAAGTTTTCCATGTTTAAGATTGAAAGATATGAGGTTATAACTTTTGTCAAGAAAATTAGATTAACAGAGTTGATCAATTGCTGATATCAATTACATGCATTCATGTATATACTGATCTCTAACCATACATGCACCATTATATTCACCATGTGTTTGCGTGTGAAAGACCGTAGACAGACAAGCATAGGTGAGTATAATTGTCTGCGTGTATGTACAGAATATTACCTCTTTCTCAATGTATTTTGCAGGTGTTGTCCCTTATATTTTTCTGCTACTTTTTGTTGGATGCTCAGCGAGACCTCTCTACCCACTTCCTGGCAGAAGAAATGATAGAAATAAACAGCCTTTACAAACATTTCGAGCATACAACATTGCGCACCGAGGTTCAAATGGAGAAATTCCCGAAGAAACTGCAGCAGCATACATGGTATGCCTAACAGATTCATTATATAGCAGTGTTATCAAAGGCGCGCTTAAGCCCTGAAGTGTGGTTCAAAACACATTGAGCGCTTCGCCTCGCTTAGCGGGCGCTTCAGTGTTGTCATCAAAGCTCTAAGGCATACTTTTCCTTGCCAATGAGCGTAATCCTGAAGAGGCCACACTAAATAATTGATATTTTACTTTATTGTAAATTTTCTTCAATTTCTTAGTCCATATATTTGGCATTCATGCTTATAGATATTAGTATTGAACTACACATACATATTCGTAGTTTTTCTCCATTTGCGTCTTTCTTCATTAAAGTCCATGCTCTTAAAGCCCCAACATACCTTAGAGATTTTTTGCGCTTTTTGCCTTTGGTAACACTGTCATATAGTTTTTAAAACAATCCGGTTTCTGAAAGTAGCAAGTGGGAACCGGATCTAGTCTCCAATAACAAAGCTTCACTTAAGGCCACATGGTTGATAATGAAATTGGTAAATACTGCCAACAGTTGTCGGGGAAATGCTTTTTACTCTTTGTAATAACACCTTTCTGCTTGCAATAAATGATGCTAAATTGCAGCAGTCTGTTTTTCTGGATAAACTGCAAAATATGCTCCTGAAACTTTAGTATTATGCAGAGAGCTATTGAAGAGGGTACTGATTTCATTGAGACAGATATTTTAGCATCTAAAGACGGTGCTCTTATATGCTTCCATGATGTCACCCTTGACGATACAACTGATATAACAAATCACAAGGAGTTTGCTAATCGGAAGAGGACCTATGAGGTTCAAGGGGTCAACACTACTGGATTTTTTCTTGGTACAGATGTTACAATATCACGCATGCTAACTTCTGTTTTTTTCAAGTCGATAATACATTTGGTCCTTCTGCTGTCATTTTGTGTCAGCTTCATTTTCTTAATCTAACCATGTGTATTAGAAAATGTAAATAAGTGTGTACTTCCAGGTTTTATACTATTTCTTTACTGATATGATATGTATGATTACTTTGTCTGTTAGTAATTTCTTGTACCAATGTGCAGTTGATTTCACCCTTGATGAATTGAAGCTTCTGCGAGTAAAGCAAAGATATCCTTTCAGAGATCAGCAATATAATGGTTAGTTTTCTAAGGTTCCTGTAAAATATGATGTGACCTTTTCTGTAAATGTTGTGCTGGTAACAATGTAATGCAGAAAAATATTTTCATAGTCTGACCATGGGTTTGCACTTCTTTACACTAAGATATGTGATTAGTGCATAGAAAACAAGATATGGAAAATGTATGCTATTTGAAATATGTAACATAAGCCAAAATGTTGCTTTGATTGACCTTTCCCAATAATAACATGCATGTTCCTGCTATGTGCATATATGTCTTCTTATTTGACTGCATGCCGAATCAATCAACGCTGAGAAGAAACTGGATAGTATTTCATCAGCTACCTAAATCTGGAAATTTGAAGTGATGCCTAAAAGAAGCTACGTTGAGCTATGCCAAAAACTAAAATGAACTCGTTATTTAAGTTACGGCTTACTTGCTATTATTCTATATTTTTTCAGGAAAACGCATCCCATTGCCACCAATATTTTTCACCATCTTTATTGTCAATTAAACATGCAGGAGAATTTTCTATTATTACTTTTGATGAGTTCATCTCAATTGCATTGGATGCCCATAGAGTAGTTGGAATATATCCAGAGATAAAAAATCCAGTCTTTATCAACCAACAGGTGAGTTCTTTCCCTTTCTACTACAAATTAGGGGAAACTTATTTTTATCGCATAAGTATGTTTTGCGCGAAAATCAATTGATACCTTTATATGTTATTCTCAATTTTAAAACTGGAATTCTTATGTGTTACTTTCAGTTATCTTATACTCTAACAGCATGTTCCAACAGGTTAAATGGCCAGGCGGTAAGAGATTTGAGGACAAGTTTGTTGAGACGCTGAAGAAGTATGGATACAGAGGTTCATATATGTCGAAGCAATGGTTAAAGCAGCCTGCATTCATTCAATCTTTTGCTCCAACGTCACTAATTTACATATCAAATCAAACAGACCTGCCTAAGATCTTCCTCATTGATGACGTGGATATGCCAACACAAGACACCAATCAGGTTTTCGTTCCCCCGCACCTAGTTAGCACTGTATGTGACAAAGATATTGACTATCTTTATTTATTTATTTATTTTTTTTTTTGGGGGGGGGGGGGGCGGCTTTTACCCAAAATTTAGAAGCACTTACAAAAAGGAAACCCAAATGTGTAGGACTTCGATAAAAGTGCCTACTATCATCTGCAGTCTATATGTAGACGTGGTAAAGATTTGTAGAAAGCATGCAATGTTAAGATTCTTGTTTTAAAGTTTAAAGGTTAGCAGGTACATTTTATAACCTTGATAAAGAATAGAAGTTGACTCTCTCCTGATTAAGAAATGAACCTACATTCTAACATGCATTCTCTTTTCGGGGACGTAGCATGTTGAAAATATTCCCTAATCCTAGAGAAATCTGTTTGTCACACCATTTTGCTATTACTAATAAATTAGTGATATTTTTTTTTTTTAACATTTCAGTCATATTGGGAGATTACTTCAGACAGTTATCTCGACTTCATCAAGGAATATGTGGTGGGGATTGGGCCTTGGAAGGACAACATAATTCCTGTTTCTAGCAACTATCTGCAAATACCTTCTGATCTCGTCGCAAGAGCACATGCCCATAATCTACAGGTATGTGATCAATCATTTTTTTTCTCGGATATTGTTGACATGTGAAGTTAATCGGTGCTTTATTATTCCTTTCATAGATCTCTTTTCCACAGTTATTGATTTTATTGTGAACTAAGATTAGATTACTTTTAAATGAAGGGAAACAAAATAAGTATACATCTTATATAAAGTGTTTTGAATTGGAATGCATGTTATGTGTTTTCTTTGGATTGTTGAGTTGGTTCCACAAAATAAGTCTTTCTTGTTCTCTTTCCTATCTTCTATTACTATCAGTGCTTCTTTTCATCTTTTCTTTAGCTGAGGATCTATTAGAATCAACGTTCTCCGCCCTTCCAGGGTAGGGCTAAGGCTGTCTACATTCTACCCTCCCCATATCTCATTTGTGGGAATACACTGGGTTGTTGTTGTTGTTGTTCTCTTTCCTGTCTTTCAATTCATCTTTATTCCGTACACGTTCGTCCTCTGAATTTCAGTAACAAATCCAGGTTCATCCATATACTTTCCGGAATGAGAACAAATTCTTACACTTCAACTTCAGTGAAGATCCATACAATGAGTATGACTACTGGATAAACAAGATAGGCGTCGATGGGCTCTTCACAGATTTCACAGGCAGCCTTCACCATTATCAGGAATGGACCAATCCATTTGCATCTGGAGAAAAAGAAGCAACTAGACTTCTGCATAAGATTGAATTGATGCTCTCCAAGTTCAAATACTTCAACTGAGATCAATTGCATTTAACATTGTCTTATCAAGCCAATGCTATTTATAGGTCTATGTATATACCATCTGGCTTTCCTTATTTATCATTGCTATTTATTTGAATCCCTGGGAAATTTGATAAAGTAATTCGACTTGTTGCGTATTACATTACAAAGACGGAGGACTATATTTATTTTAGTGGGATGGAAAAATAAATTCAATTTCAAGGTTGAATCCCAAATAAATTGCTTTTCAATCAAGTTCTGAATACCAAACAAATTTTCATTGACTATATGAATTCTCAGTTTCATTTACTCTGCTCACATAGACACATACCTTTTTTTTTTTGGTGCAAAAGATAACATTCATTAATTAAACATGCGTACAGGGAGGTTGGTGCATAGTGTCACAGAGGTGATTTATGTTACTCAAATTCTGCCCGAGGTTCACCTCCGTGCGGCAGTCAAGCCCAGCCTTGACTTCAGCCTTTCCAACACTTAATTTTATTTTAGGGATGTTTGGAACTTAGAATGATTTAGGCAGCAAAAACAGTGAGTAAAGGCACACACGAAAATTACAGGAATTTCTCCCCAACTTGTATTAAAATGTGAATACAAGAACACAATAAGCCAACCCTATGGCCAAGACAAAGAATTCCCTGCCCCAAAACGATTTCCTACCCTTAGGAATACACTTAGACGAAATTGGCTAACACTTGCCACAAGACTCTAGTTTTCTGCCTTGTTTAGGACAACCTATGCACATATTTATAAGGCAGGATTATACAATCAGTTGACAAGCCCCAACTGATGAGCAAACATAGGAAACATGCTAAAAACGTGTAGCACTAAGTCACAAAGTCAGCCATGATCTAAAAACGTGTCCATGATCAGCCATGCTTGAAATGGGCAGTTGTAACCGCTCAACCACCCTGTCATGTACACTGCATGTGTTTGATTTGGCCAATTCCTGCACGCCCAAGGCTGGCATTGCGCCCAGCCTTGCCCTTTGACATTGCTCCGCCCCAATGCCATGACCATAGCTTGCTACCCACTGACTTAGCTGCACCCGCTCATTACCACAGCTGCCCGCTTATGTCAAGTCGCCCCCAACTTGATCAAATCTGTCTGCATCAATTGTCATTGCTTGTCCTGCACTGCCTTGCCTTGCCTTTCCATGTCTTTGCCCCTGCTTAGACATGACTTTGCCTTTCCATCGTTATGCCAACCCGCACGTCCAAGTGAAATGTGTCTTGTTTCCATTCAAGGTGCGTTTGTCAACCCCGCATAGTCCGTCATGCCGAGCTGCCCGTCATGATGTTGCCCCATTTTTCAGGTTGTGTGCCAAGGCCATCATGAAAATCCTTGTCACAACCCACACATGCCGAGGAACCTTGTCAAGGGGCTAACACATAGGTAGCACCATATTACAAAGTATTAAACTATTTTTTTGAGAAGGTAAAAATTTGTATATTAATATAAAGACTTCACTGAAATTGTGAAGTCACTCATAGTTACACTGTGAGTGTCCATACAAAATAAACAAAAAAAGGACATTGTTCACCCAAGATCTTCTTAAACTAAATCTAAGACATCTAAGATGGATTCATGATCCTCCAAAAGCTTTCCTTTACACCAAAAATAAAAAAGAGCTACACATTTCATCTTTATCCTCTGGATGTTGTTGAATTTTTCTTCAAAGCATCTTTGATTTCTCTCTTCCCATACTGACCACCATATACAAGTTGGGACAATTCTCCATCTCTTGACAAAGTTATTACAAGCTATTAAACTACTATTAGTATTTGAGTTGTTTATGGTATTCCTAGTGGAACTATCATCATAACAGCATTGCACATTTGATGGTGGTTGATGGCGAGCACAGTTGGCACCCTGAACAGCATTCCCTTGAAGTGATCTTGGAGTTGCTATACCTTGCATGTCTTCTTCAAAAACTATTTTAACAAAAACTAGGATTGCCTCAAAAACGCTTGGCACATAGTTGATTCCAAAATTATGGTCTGCCTTTGCTAATTGATCCGCTACTCTATTTTGTTCTCTGTACGCATGTTGCACTAGTGGATCACCCAGCTTCAGTTGGAGGTACCTGCAATCATTTATCATATTAGCATACGTAATATTATCAGATTTTAACATTGTGATAACCTCCCTTGCATCCACCTCAAGTGGAACTAAACCATGCTCAAATGCCAATTTAAGGCCATGTATCAGCGCATGCCATTCTGCAAAGAGGGAGGTGTTCCTTGCAACATTTCCTGAGAAGCCTAATATCCATTCCCCTTTGCAATTCTTAATTAAGCCTCCAATGCCATCTGTTGTGGATGAGTGTGCCCCATCTGTGTTTAACTTATAAGTATTGTGCTTTGGAGGACTCCACTTGAGGTGAGTTATAATTTTCATTTTCTTTTTATGAGAAGAAGTTGTTAAATATGAAAAATCAGCTGTTTGTTGTGTTGTATGTTTTATACTAACACTTTCACGAGTTGACTTATAGATATTTCGATTTTGTGTCATCCAAATATTCCAAAGACTTAACGGTAAGTAAGTATGTGGATTCATATTATATGGTAACTTCAATCCCTTGTAAACTCATCAACCCATGTAGCCAGTGTTCTGTGTTTTGCAAGTGCATTAGTGCACTAACATATCGCAGGAGTCCTAATTCCTGCCAGTATCTTTTTGCATTTTGACAATTAAGAAAGAGGTGTTTGATAGTTTCATCTTCCTGTTGGAAATATGGGCAAGTGCCATCCGATATTATATTGAGTTTCTTAAGAAAATCGCATGTTGGCAGTCTATTGTGGTAGAGTAGCCAAATAAAGGTTTTTATTTTTGGTTGTATAGGTAACTGCCATATCCAAGTGAATTTTATAGAATTATTCATGGTTTGTTCTAGATTTTTTTCCAAAGCAGTGTACATGGAATGAACTGTAAAGTTACTCATTGGTGTTAAGCCCCTATAGATATGGTCTACATTGTTATTGAAAATGTTGGTTTATGTTTAGTCAACAATGGCATGCTGAAAATGTTGGTTTATGTTTAG